GATTCTGTTCGAGTGGAGTGTAAGTATTCACATTATACATAAGTCGTATCTATTGTTTTATGTAATTTACATGAAATTCACAGTGTATACAGGATATAGTCAGAGCCATTTTAATTGATATTAGGATGGTAATCAAACTGCAAGGCAATCAAGCACCTACAAATTAGTTATTAATTAGTTATTGTCGACGCATCAAGACTTTATAGGTATAAATAAACAATTAACTGCGCCGTACGGCCACTTCGTCTATTTTGTACAGCGCCTATATTGTTTCAAAACAGATAACAACACAGCGATGGAAAGGTTCCCATAAACGGCACCGAATACTATTGAACATCACATGTTTAAACAAAAACACATTTATTGTTCTTAAATTGCAGCCGGTGTTTCTGATATTGCTGCTTGGCTGGTATTTTATCCCTGTCTATATTTCCGCTGGGGTAAGTTCGTCTCTTATGTGTTTATAACTTTCTAGTAGTGATTATTCTATTCACATCTCATTTCTTACTATCCAATAACATTCCATTTGGGATGTCTTTATAAGACATTTGCTTGTAACGACGGATGTTTCAGAAATCTGTATCGTCCGAATAAAAGTCTTGTGAAACTATTGTTTCATCATTTACCCAATGTATCCGTTAGGTATCATATTGTTTTATCATGAATGTTGACAGGTGTACACCTTGCCAGAGTATCTTGAGAAGCGTGTCGGTGGAAACAAGATCAGGATTTATATATCGGTTTTGTTCCTGGTGCTCGCTGTTGTCACCAAACTAGCGGTAACTTCATGACTTTTGTTTGACACCCTTTACAGTTACATTGAATAACTAAGCAGTAACTATCCTATTTAACACCCAATACAGTTTTAGTCACCAGGCTAGAGGTAAAGTTCTGTAATTCCTGTGATTTTATGACATTTTTAAGACATTCTTATACTACACCCCACTTCACGGATGTAACGTCACAATGGGACAATAGGGTGGCGTCAGGAGCTCGGAAACATCATAATGCCATGTTTATAAAATTGTATAATTTCTGAGCTAGTTCTTGTAATCGTTATGGCAGACAAATATCCTTCTTTACTGTTTGTTACAGTAGAAGTGGGTCTCTATCCAAGCGTTCATACTTACGTGTAATCTAAATGAACTGTTTTTGTCACAATAAGAGTTGTTCATTATATCAGAAACAATCAAGAAATGTCAAAGTGATA